ATAATTTATTATAGGGTCAGAAATTAATAGGTACTTATTTGTTCTATTTCTCGATAAGTATAATTATTATGTTTTTCTTATTATATGCTTTCTATTTATTTTAAGAACTTAATACTTATCAAGTTGGAATGCACCTTACGTTTTAATCAATAAAAAAAAAATATAAAAAAAATCTCATTAGGTATATTTATTAGGTAGGTGACGCGTGTTGTCCAAAGCTGCTCTTGAATATAAGCCCATCCATAGCGTGGCTTGAAAGTAGTCCTATCCCTCGTCAAATAGTTACGTGAGTAAAGTGTTAAACATAATAATTAATACCAGGTAGGTAGTCTCCAGTAACTCTTGTCATTTTAAATTAAAACGGAACATTTGTTAATTAAATCAATTTTCACAAAATTGCCATTCTGAACTTAGAGACTCCTGATAGATCTTGAAATCTTTACTATTTTTTTATATGATAGGACGGCAAATGAGCAGCTGCAACAACTGAGGAGTTACGAGTGCGTTACCGACGTTTTGGGAATTAGGGTATTGGGGATTTAGGGATTGGGGGAGTAACAAGCCTCAAGTAACCTCACTCACACGGCGAATCATACGTCTATATATACGTATTTGACATCGGTTTTCTGTAAGGCCGTGGTACCATTCCGGTCGAGCCGACCCATTCGTGCCGAAGCATGGCTCTCCCACACTTAAGACTCAGTATTGAGTTGCCATTCAAGTATAAAAATCATCTCATAATCTCATTTAATATGCTGTTGCCCTCGTTTTCGTTTAGATGAACCGACGGAAGTAAGATCGTGGCATCGTAACCAGCTTTCCGTACATGGGCTTAATCTCTGCCTAATTAGAACGAATTCAAATAGCTTCCGTAGCAAACCAAAATGCGTTGGGACTTCCGGATATTACAAAACTGTAACTATAACCTCGGTTTAGCGATGGTGGTCGACTGTTGGTTAAACCCAGTAGAATACGTATTGTAAAGATACTGTTCCTATATCCATATACTACTTTTAATAAAGAATTAACGTGTAATTAATTGTGCTATATACTCGTGTACTAGTTTTAATGAAGAGTATACGTGTTAAGTACTGACATTATAATCACATAAGCCCCCCAAAATAAACTAAAATTTTATTCCGTAGTGCCGTTCATACTTATAGATTAAGAAAAAAAAGGGTTGGTTTTTCAATGGTTTGACAAAAGTTACCTGGGTGTGGGAAATAAAAAAATTATGATGCTGTCGCGTTAGAATATTTGCATAAGACAGTGACAGCAACTATTTTATTCCTTAGATACTGTCAGATATAATTTGTCTGACTATTGAAAAATCAATCTTAAAAATAAACAAACTCATTTATCTTTATATATGAATGTTATTTGAAATAGCAGACACATTACTTATGATTCAAAGAAATAGTTAAATTATATTATGCAAAATCATATCAGATGTGCATCTAACAGCGTTTTTCATTTTTCATAGAATATAAATAAAATTTGCATTAAAATCCTTCATGCGAATTGAGCTGTGTAAAAATATTTCAATTTAAATTAAATTTAGGTAGTTTCCTAGGTCAAAAATAAATTAATTCGATGTTTCAATACTATAAAATATTGAAAAATAACTATACTTTTATTCGTCGATCGATCGATACACCAAGTTTTAGATTTTTTTTTAGCTAATTATTGTGAAATAAGTAAGCTATTTGACTCAAAAATGTTATGACGTCATAGCTCAGTTTTTTATACAAATTTCATAGAAAAGTATTGTTTTTGACGTTTGGATAAAAGTATTGAATTTGACTAGTTGGAAACTACCGTTTTGATTCTATAGATAGATAGATTTCAAGCAGAAGAGAAAAATTATGAAGGATAATCAAATTACAGCTGAAATGTCATAATAATATATTCATAATAGATTGTTCTAAATAATGTACTATACAGAAATAAAGAAGTTGTTTAAAATAGGCAATTAGGACGTTCATTCAAATGACAGACTTATCAACAATGGATCGATGAATAATTTGCGTGATTGCAACCAAGTACTATAGGCATTGGACTATTTGTAGCCGATATTTCTCAATACCAGATAAATTATGAAATTCTTAATAAAATCTTATAAATAATAATAGATTTAGAATAAAATATATTTGTATAGAATGTAGGGATAACAATATTTACAATAACAAGTTATTAAAAGTTTAAGAAACCATATGCCTTCGTCATGCCCTTCAGACGGGGTCCTAAAGGGTTGATGTTCAGCCAGGTGAGGGTTGCGCGGTAAACGAAATGAGGCACCGCGACCTCGGCCCAGAGCAGGAGAAGGAACAGGGGGGTTTTTAGTCAGTAAGAGTCTGACACTCCCTCCCGCCCAGCTCTGGGCGGGAGAAGTCAGTTAATGGTTTTCCCCTCACAAAAAAAAATGTTCTTCGGCATACAAAAAATTATGTTTATTTATACATAAACATAGCAGCAAAAAATATTTATTTACAATACTATCTTAAATCTTCATTACAAAAATCGGATATTTTTTTTTATCATTTATGTAACATTTTTTTAAATCAGCAAGTCATTTTTGGAATATTGTGAATGTTGTTCCATAATAACTTTTGAAATTCAAATTCAAAAGTGTTTATTTACATTGTTTATAAGCAAAGGTCTTATATCCTAGGTAACTTGTTTGTTAAAAGTAGCCATACATATGACGCTTTTCTTTAATAGTGTGGTGTTGTAGCTTGCCGTGCGGAATAGAGTTTGATACTGAAAATGTATACTCACTATTTGTCTTTTTTCGAACTTCCCATAACGATGGAAACAGGAGGTCTACTCTCTTTCTTCGAAACGAAACTTTCGGAAACGAACGAAACTCGAACGAAAGAACGTTGACGACCCTACTCTGTTTAATTTTCGGACACGCATACGAAGTTCGATCCAGAGATAATTTTCGGGAACGAATGTAATTGTGTAGGTTCTTTATAATGTGATTTGTGGTAAATTACGGTTTTTACTTAAAGTTAAAATTACAAATTCTCTGGCTGTTTCTTTAAATTCCACATTATGTATGTAGTTTGTAAAACTATTACTTATAATATTCCACGCAGAAAATAAAAATATATTTATTTTTGACGGAATTGTAATTTATCGTGTAATTTATCATCGTTACTTTATAAAAAACTCTTTTACAGACATTTATAACCGACTAATTTAAAGAGTACTATTTCATGCCAAGAAAGGGTTGTTATGTATGACGACCAAAAATGGCTGTATTCGGACCGTGCACGACATGTGTCAAAAAATTAATGTCAACAGATTGTTTATTTTTATCAACACGAGTTAATAAAATATACTATAAAAGACAATAAATATATGTGGAGAAACGAATTTTATTGAATTGTATAAAAATGGATATTATTATAAAAACAGGTTTTGAGTGTTATAAACACACAATCATTTTCCTACCTCGGACTGTGCTAAAATGTAAAATTGGTGTTAGCAGAACATGTGAAGGATGTGGAAGAGCAGGGAAGAGAAAAGAATTAATGCGAATAATAATATGGCTGTGCGTTAATATTGATTGTGCAGTGGTGGAAGAAGACTGTGTGACAAAGCGAGTCGAAGCTAAATGTCCAATTATCTACATTTGAAAAGAAAACTGTCGTTGAATTTGATAAAGATGTATGCAATGTTAATTACTTAATATTTTGATAAAATAATGTAATAGAGTTAGAACAAAGCCATTCGTATTACACTCATGTTCAGTTACAAATGTATGTAACTGGGATGACAATGTGTGATATTTTTATTTTGAGCAGTATATGGTAAATAATGCTCGTTTATGTTAACTTCATATAAGTACTTTAATGTCTTACAGTAACGATATTATTTTGATGTTATATAAAATGCTAATAAGTTGTTTAAAATTATACTCCTTGTTATATTAAATTTGTTCTATTAGAAAATTGAAATTTATTTTAAAAGGATAATAAGTTTTTAATTTTTGTTTAATAAGTGCAGAACTTTAGGAAATAAAAATCAGTTATTTTTTTAAGTGTGTTTTATTTACTTGTCCTTTTTTACATATTTGTGCCGCGATCGGTTTCTTTACCCTTTCCACCCATATATCATTACATCATAACAATAACATACAACTTATGAGTTTTTGTTTGAAAACTTTTCTAAAAGTAAGTTTCTCACAGCTCCTCAAATAATAGGCGACTGTCCTACAAACTGTAAGTCCGGAATTTGACTTAAGTAGATTGCGCAGGCAGCGCCGGTTCCTTCTACGCTCTACACGTTCTTCACGTAAAAGAGCTTCGATTTAGAGCATTCTTGTAGCCATTTCAAACAACTCTCATACAAAATCCACACTAAACGAAAATTAAAAGGTAACACTTTTGGTTTCGTCAATTTGAAGTAAAAAATCCGAAAAATCGTCTGTCAAATTCAAAAGTTCATTCGGAGCTAATAAGGATTAGAGTAGGTTCTAAATGTCAAACGTCTTCGTTCGAACGAAATTTCGGAACGAATTGAAACCGTGGTAGGAAACACGCGAAGTTTCGATCGAAAGTTCGTTTTTCGTAGAATAAGAGTAGACCCCCAGGTGCGAATTGGTTTTCACTTGTAGTACTAGTGGTAAGACAGAGTATGGAATATGTATATCAGGGTCGCCCTCTATTTTATTGGAAACGCACTATGCTTATAGACTATCTTCTCCGGGGATAGTGTAGCTTTTTAACATTAAAATAATTTTTCAAATCAGTTTATTAGTTCCGGACCCTATGCAATCAAAACAGTCCTCTTATTAATATTAGTATAATTATACTTAACCTCATCCGTCAAAATGTTTCTACAGGTTATATAGTACGTACCTTTATTTTCTTTCAACACTTAATGTTATCATACACAAAACACTTTATATGATATATGATATAGGTCATGTCCATCTCTTTCTGTGATCTTTTTTCTGCTACAATTATGAACCCTTATTTACCTTGTTCCAGAGAGTTGGGGTCAAACTGATGGTCATCGGTTCACGTACCCAGCATCTCCACTTTTAACCCAGGGTGGTGACGTAGGCGCCAATGCTTTCTGCCCGAAGGAGCCGGGGCAAGGAGACGAATGTGTCCACGTCAAGAATATACCTCTCGACTCCACCGTCGAACTTGTGATGTTCGATCAAGGTAATTTAATTGGTAATAAATATTTTTCTTTTTATATGTAGAAAGTAACCTCTGTAGATAATACTGACAAAAATAATCAGAGGGCCTTCCTAGCGTGTTAAAGCGTCATCTTCCGGGCGAGAAAGAGGGATGGAACTATAAAAGGTGTATAGGTCCATCCCACTTTCACGTCATGTTAGGCCTACTGGTGTTCTATTTTCGAGTGCGCATGGGATGTGGGAAGCAAAAATTTTTGTTCCTTTGCAATCTTGAAGTAATACAACCAAAGATTGTATTATTCAATAAACACAGACGGAGTAGATCTTATTGACGTAAGTGCCTGGCCTCTGAACTAAAATGTCTTACGGTGACAGCTTATACCTTTTTTTAATGGTATCGGTAGGCAAACGAGCGTCAGACTGATGGTATTGAATCAGGACCGCCTATGGTCACACGCAACATCTAGAAGTTATAAATGCTCTAACGGTTACTCTAGGGTATAACTTTCGAGAATTAGGGGATTTGAGGTTGGGGATAGGGTTGGGATTGGACTTCCGATACTCACACAGCAAAATTCAACGCAAGCATTTCGTAAGTACGCCATTCGGTAAGGTCTGGCTGATAGGAATTGCACCGGCATGAAAGGTTATGGTGGGCATGCCCCAAAAAGGCGAATAGAGGCGAGATGCAACTTCGGTTCGGTGGGATAACAGTATCCCATTGGTCGAGATTGTCCATTGTTGATTCGTACCGAAGTTGCCTCTACAACTGTCAATTTAGAATCAATACCTTGGATTCATTATACGTATAATAATGTAAGTTATTATAAGTATAATGAATCCAATTATAAGTACAATAGAGTTTATATTTCACTATCACTACCGTTTCTAAGTAATTTCTCACCAGCCATCTAACTTGCGAGTCATGATGCAACTATATTATTTTTTACTAAGCCGCAAGATGTAATTATTGCTGCGTGCCTCAAGCGCTGTGGTATTAAAACAAAGAGGTTTTATAACACGAGTTAATGACATGTTTACTGAGTTACACGTGCTCATATAGCTATGTAGAAGCGAGCATATTAAGGTACTCGATTTTGCAAAAAATCTGCAATACAACTTCAACTTTGACTTCTTATGTTATAAAGTCTAAAATCAATTGAAGTAATTGGTGTATATTTATGTGCTGTTATTCGTTATATTTGTTTAGTACGGAAATCCTTACTCTGTATGTCTTCTTTACGAGATAGTAAGTATAAATGGACGAGTAAATAAGCAAAAAAAAAAAAATTGCAAGAGTTCTGAATCGTTGACTTAACTGTCCTCCGTAAGTCGCCTGCCAAAATATGTGTTAGCAAGATACTTTGTTCACTAATTCCTATCTCGGCTGATAATAGTGATACAAAAGGCTCTTTTTAAAAGTCAAACAAAGAACACAAACTTGGCAACGCAGACATAATCATGGTAAAACTAAAGTACTCATAACCATGTCTCGTAAGGGCAACGCAAAATCTAGATACTTACTAATATTAAATAGACGTAAAATTTTTAAGTTTCTAAGTTTGTACGTAGGGGGTTATCTTTGAAACCGCTGGTCGAATTACACTGGCTTTTATAAATTATTATACTACTTTAAATCATTTGTTAATGAAGAGCAGGCACACAATTAAGACGCAAATACAGGTTCGTTTGAGTTATTCAGCCTTTAACAAATTAATGTACCTACTGTTATTAAAAAGCAAATCTAAACACGTGCAAAATATTAAGTTTAATTACCTCTTTGTCTTCAGATTGTTTTGGAAACTAACAAAAACAAAGCGGAACTAAGTTTCTCACAACGCTAATTCTCTCAGACGTTAATTATTACGAGACAAATAGATGTGTATAACATTTACATATTTATAAATAAGGTGTTCGCAAAAGCCGTAAAGACATAAGCTTAGTCGGTTCCCTTCCCTTATAAGGCAGTTTGTAGAGTAAATTTTGCACTTTCCATTACCGAAAGTTTAGAAACGGCACTTGTGTTAAAGTAACGTAAAGCGTCAATATTAGTTTAAACATCATGCCGTATATGGAGATAATGTTACTTAAGCTAGAGTATACAAATATTAGCAAATAGTTAAACTGTTTAGAATATCCGTCATTTGTTACACCACAATGTAACAATATATATACTAGCTACTCACGCGCGGTTTCACCCGCCTGCCTCCATTTAATCGTAACGTGATGTTTTATATCATATAGAACTCAGGAACATTGTAGCTATCTATCAGTGCAAGAATTTTGGCAATCCGTCCAGCGGTTCCAGAGATTACCCCCTACATACAAACTTACAAATTTTACCTCTTTATAATATTAGTAAAGATAAATATCAGAGGGCCTACTATGACGTGTCAATCTTCCGGGCGAGAAAGAGGGATGGAGCTATACACCTTTTATAACTCCATCCCTCTTTCTCGCCCGGTCATGTTAGGCCTACTGTAGTGCCTTCTTGTCTCCAGTTTATCTTATAGGAGTAAGTAACGACGTCAGTGTTGTTATTGTATTCCAATTTAGACTCTACCTAAGTATGTATATCTAAGCTCAATTGAGAGTTTAATTTAGTATTAAAACATCCGTCATCCAGACTGTCTGACTGACTATTCACGGCAAATGAATACTGAGAGCTGCACGTCGATTCTATAAAATTTGTTTAATTTTTAATCTTGTTCGAGTGCGAAGTGAGCGTCGAAGTGACGGTGTAATTAAATTTTAGAATGCCACTTTTTACGTCATCTCATACTTTATCTATCAATATGTTGCTGTCAATTTAGTTTGCCTCGCAAGTGTAGCGCTAGTGTACTACTACTACTCACAGCGGATTCAGATTCGAAGTTTAGAATGAAGTCTTTCAGAATCACACCCCAGCTGTCAAGTCGTAATGTATTTTAGTGACCTACCTAAAACTCAACACAAATTTTTATCTTTATATAAAACACAAAATCAATTAGAATAATATTTACAATTTGTATTTAATAAGTAACAAATGGAAATTGCAATTAAATGACAGATGAACATGTATTGTATACCTATGTAATAGGTATTGATACTTTTACTCAATAGTAAAGAGGATCGCACGCTTCTCAGTATTTGTAACGATATGAATATAACAGCGACTATTAGGCTTGAAGGCACATTTATCATGGTGGCAGTGATTCATGGGACTTTTAGATGCATAGGTACTCATAGTCCGCAATTGCCATGAAACACGGAAGATAACAAAAGTTGTGTGTAAGGATTGCGAAACTCGTGGTGCGAAATATGCAAGTATGTTGATGTCGACAGAACCGGCACACAGATGTAAAGTTTGATCGATGTACAATTTGTAAATGGAATTGGGTCGTTTTCTAAGTAAAAAAAGAACAATAATTTTGACTGTTCAAAATAATGTTGACGAATAAGTTTTGCGTATTCAAATTTCAAAAATAGAATTATACATAGTTAAGTATAGTTTATGACATTTCAATAAAAGTAATTGAATTCAACTTGTTCGAAACTATCGTATTGGTTCTTAATTTAAAAGTGATCAGTTGCCAACTTCAAATTGGAGGCAAAACTTCGAGCCAATGCAATTTAAGCGATAGGCAACTGAGAACAAAAATGAAAACTCAATGAATGAACTTCATTCATATTTTGACAGAGTCAATTTCTTAAGTTTTTTTTTTTAACCTGAGTGGACAATCATTATAAAGCCATTTGGCGCATAGCAAAGGTTGTTCTTATTAAGCCAGCACTTTTACGTGTCGGTAATTTGAAGCGTGTAATTAGTACTGCTATCATTTTGACGAGGCCTCAAATAATTTGAAAAAATTCTTTATTAACACGTTTAGCCATTAGCCTAGTGAGAAAGTAAGCATGGCCCTGGGGCATACCGTGGAAGACGCGGGTCAACCGATATGAAAAAAGTAAGTAGGTCTTTATCAACTATATTCGTTGGGTCTTGGAACACAATACCTCTCACATGCATTACGTAGTGGAGAATATAAAAAGTGATCACACGATATAACTCTGAACTCACGGAACCACGAGCTCACATAATTTATTGTTTTTCCATGATATAGTTAGTACAAATGTTAACGAGAAGTAAAAGTAGCTTTTAATTGTAATAAACCTACATATTATATTACTACATTATTTTAATTAAGTATTATGTGTTTTTAATAATTTTGAACCACGACCAGTATTTTTTTATGGGATACGTCAGCAAACGAACTTACCGATTACCTGATGGTAAGCAACCGCCGCCGCGAATGGACACTCGTTATACCATCGGGAGTTACTACTAGTATGTTGCCGCCCTTTTGTGGTTAAGGAATTAACATTTGGGTTTGGGTTTTTATGGGTGAGGGGGGGGGGAGGGGGGAGGTAGCGCAGTATAACTCATTCACATGGTGAAACAGGCCGTTGTATCGCTCTGGTTGAGCCAGCCCATTTACAACACTTCATTCACAGATGTACGTTGCTTCGTGAATTATTCTCTTTCTTTCCACTTTTATGTTTTTACAGACAATACCTAGAATTTAGTAAATTAATAAAATGAAGTTGCAACTTCATTTAGAACCCCAACGCTCTGTTCTACTAGAAATATTAATCACTTTAATGGAATATCTTAATCAATCATAGAACAAGAAAGGTTTGTTTCATTGGCTTCGAAAGTAACACTAAACGAAATGCGAAGCGAATCATAAACACTTACTTAGGTACAATTCAAACTTTCCCAGTTTAATTGAACATTATTATGTAGTTTTGATATCACTATTCAAAGATAATAACATCTAACATTAAACCGTGTGGACAATCTTATTGCGTTGAGAAATAATTATGGGTAATCTACTCATCTAGACCCAATCTAGACTTCATGTAGTGTGATGTCTGTAGAGAATAGTACCTACATAAACGTATTTGCAGCGTCTTTTCTTTTACGACGTGTTTGTATGGGTTGACTTGTTGTAGGTATGTCTAATTAACTACATATATGTGAAAAATCAAAAGACTTGTTCGTCTTTAAATTTAGATTTAGCGGAAAAGTAGTTATAAAATAATTAATGTCGTTTAGAATACGTCTTTCCTTCATTTGTCATCCGCCATAATCCCTTATTTGCCATCTCTCTCGCACCATGACACTCTCACTCCGCCGACAGCTTCGACAATTTTATATCCATAACAACCCTACCTGACACCTAGTCCTTTCATCGCAACAAACATATGTGTCACAGATCTAGTAGCAGCGCCCTCGATAAAACTGAATATTTTCAACCGCTGACTGGCTAAACATGGTGGTTGTGGCCAAATTTCGTATGCATTGGATGCCAATATTCGTGGCTGGTACGATATTGGTAATCATGCTGCTGATGTCGATAATCAGGAATAATGTTAAGTAAACTGTACTCTTATTGTGTTAAAAAATATCTAATTATGAGCAGATTATCCACAAGGCACTTTGCTTTTGATTTTTTTTCAAATAAAGCGATTTTAATAGTTAAAATATGACCTTCTTTATTTGAACAAAACTAAAATGAATTAAATAACTTATAAAGTTTCAAGTTGTTTGTTCTTTTATTAAGTAGGTACTAGCGACGCGCCCCTGCTTCGCACGGATACAATGTTGATACTAGATTTAATGTCTCCACTATTTAATGGATATTAATATACATATAATAAATCCTCTTCAATCACTCTATCCATTACAATAAACTGCATCTAAATCCGACGAGTACTTTTAAAGATTTAAGCGTACATAGCGGGTAATAGTGAAAGAGAAAGAAATTTAGTTTTATTTGGTGACTAGCTTTTCCCGCGACTCCGTTCGCGTGGAATGGGATGACTTCCTGCAAATTTTTGATATAAAAACTATCCTATTTCTTTTCTCGAGTTTCAAACAAAAAAAAAAAAAACGAGTTCAGTAGTTTAGGCGTGAAGAAAAGACAGAGTTACTTTCGCATTTACAATATTAGTTTGGATAATGCCTCCTAAAAATACTATGAAGTCTTATAATATAATTTAAAAGTAAGCAAATATATATAAGTAACGAGTATGTGGTCTAGTTATTTTATTTTGTAGTTCAATCTGCATGATATATTTATTTGGCAGTAGGCAGGCTGTTATACAACGCTCTCATTAATTTAGACCTAGTTATGCGTTCATGCAAGGTTTCTAAATATTAGGGTTCTGTATAATTGTTAAACTATGTTCTATTCGTATGCATAGCTATAAATACCTACGGTTTTTTTACTAGTTTAAATGTGGGTATTATGTGATACTAACTTTTTACTTTCGAATTTGTAATATTAGTTTGGATAGTTTGGATTAATTTAGTATCATTGTTCTAGTCGCCATTTTGTTAAGGTTTTTAATAACATTTTATGAAATGGGCACATTGATAGAACATGTTCGTAAGAGGAATCAGTGAACTGAATAGTCGTCGACTGAATAACACAATCATAATAATTCGTTAAGTAAGCTAAGGGTCTTTCATATCAAATATTTTTACTTTTACCTACCTAAACCCTTTACCTATACGGAACTCAACAAACAAAGCCCCCACCTCCACTCGCCTCAAACGGCCGTAAGATTTTTAACTGTCTCGTTACGAGTCGGACGGTTGTCGATTGGGCCTGTATAATTATTTAAACCGTACCGGACATAAAGTTAGCCGAGTGGGCGAGGTGGTGAGCTGACGAGGCGGCGAGGTCGCCGGTCCGGATGGCCGACGTAATTCAGTTAAAATATCCAAAGATGTCTCGTTCCACCGAATGCATTAACCTAATTTGGATTCTATAAAGTGGAACTGGTTGAGTGACAGCTCGACGCCACGTTGTTTACATTAGCATTGTGAAATATCGTAAAAGAAGTAATAAAAATATATTCTTTTTTTGTTTACTTTTTATTATATCTTTTGAAGATAAGTCATTGATTTCTTTGAAAGTTTATAGCACCGTTTATTATGTAATACGCTGATTTTTCAATCGATAGACAAAAGTTACTTGGGGAATAGTTACGATGCTGTCGCTTCAGAATGTTTGGATAAGACAGTGACAGCAACAATTTTATACCTCAGATAACATTTATCTGACTATTGAAAAATCAGCCCTTAGATTTATAAGTAGTCTACATTAACTACAGCGACCACTAATCTTCGCTCCAAAATACAGAAGACTAATTCTGTTCGCAGTCTGTTCAGTAGCTCAAAATGCTTTAATTCCCTTCTTTCAAAACATACTTTTGTCTACTAAAACTTCTTATCGCTTTATTTCGATTATATCGCTCGACATTAGCTAATAGGGTTTCTTGACACGGCTATGTCTGCGATGATAAAGTTGACCAATTACATACAATTATTTACCACTACTTACCACTTTTATTGTCCCGTTGATGCTTTCTAGCAATTGATCAAAATGATAAATATTTTTATTTCTTTTTTTTTTCTTATTTCCTTCATTATAACTGAACTTGTTTTTATTTTATTCGTTTAATTACAAGTGTTTTAAGCAAACAAAGAATAATTTTTAACGTGGTTATTTTTTTGTGTGTTAGCCTTTAAGTTTTTCCAAATTAAATTAATTTAAAATGAAGCCTGTTATAGCATAGTCCATGTATTAAACTAGATTCGAAAGCAATTATCCAATTTGCATAACATAATATGTATACTAGATAAACACGTTCTAAGCTTGTGGTTTTGATGTTTTATTTATTATTCGATTCTGCAATATGTATTGGTACTACTTTATTTGGTTTCAAGGTCATCAATATTTCTAAATAATGTCTAGTCTAAAAATAGCAAACAAAAACAGTAGTTTGAGATGCATTATTTTCCTGAGGCAAAAAAATATTTTTCACATTTAATATTATCATGCGTGAGGTTTTTGGAAATAATAAAAATAAATTGTCATTGTTTTTTGTTCGAAAACGAAACGGAATTGTACTGGCCCATGGCTGACCCTCGATCAGAGAATGTCACTTTCTAATATGCTTCGCAACGGCTGACATTTGATGCAGAGTCTTGATTATTTTGTACGTCAATATTTTTAGCTCTCGGAACATCCATTACTTAATTAACAATATCGATATTATCATATTAATTGAAGACATCAATCAGACAACCATTATAGCCTCGTACAGAGAAAATCCATTTATATAATGTAAATGCAATTAATTGATGTGCGCTTCCCACCTTCCATAACTGTGATGAATATACGCCCGGTATAATATCCCTCTATTGATTACAGGCGGTGAATCTGACCACATATTCCATCTTCACGGCTACAGCTTTTACGTGGTTGGGATGAAGGAACTTCACAGAAGTTACGACAGAGAAAGCATCAAGAAGATGAATGAAGAAGGCACTCTGTTCAACAAGAACCTCATCGATCCAGTTCAAAAGGACACCATTGTAGTACCCAAGTTCGGTGCAGTAGCATTACGTTTCAAGGCTGACAACCCTGGCTTCTGGATGATGAGGGATGAAAGATCCTCTCACTGGACCAGAGGCTTAGATTTTATATTTAAAGTAGGGGAAGAAAGCGACTTTGTCCAAGCTCCCCCCGATTTCCCCAAGTGCGGCTCTTATGTTGGCCCCGAATATTTTCTCATTTGAGTCCGGCCAGAAAGCCGATACTAAAGTTACCTTAGATTGTATTCGTCAATTTATTTATTACATTTGTGATATGTTTGTTTAGGTTATTCATTTCGTAAAGCTAAATTGGTTTTCGTGGAACGAAAAATATACAACTAAATAAGTTTGTTGAAATCAGGGAAATGTGGAAAACAATTCGAGATAATACTTTTGATATGTTTTCGTAGTAATGGCCTGATTTAGTTGTAAATAGTTAAATTTGATTTGACTTACATTAAGTACTTGTATAACAAATCCATTTACTTTTAGTAGTGTAAATAAAGTATATTTTTACGTAAATGTATTTTATTCCCTTGAGAAATAGAATAATCTTTCTAGGTTTGGCGGCGACAGAGTTGAATTGTTGATAAATCATTCGATTACGCCGAGAGTGACTGTGCTGTTGAATTTAGGTGAGGTATAGTATAAAAACGAGAAATTTTTAACTTGAGTGCCCAAATAGTGAAAGTGTGCGTAATTGTGGCACAACTGTGGCCTGAAGCAAGTACCTCTGCAGCGAGGCGCCGTGGGCAGCGGCCACAGATAACCAAAAGATTTTATTGTACTTTTGACGGCAATTGTACATCGTGGTTGCGAAAATAAATAACTTTTTGTAGTGTTGGCAAAACTGTAATCGGAATATGAGTAGGTAATAATTATGTGGTGAATGAACCAACTTTTTGTTTTAAATAAAAGTAGTTTCAACATGAGCTTCGCTGAAACTTTCTACATACATATAACAGTAGTACAGTACAATAGTATAAGAGTACATGTACAATGTCCCATTGCTAGCAATGTAGTCTAGTTTTAACTATTATGTATTAGGTTCAATTAAAATATTTGTTTGTACAGTAAGTACGTAATATAATATTTGCATTACATAAGCCGACGTTGATAATGTTACAGTTTGAGGAACATGAAATTCGATATTTATGTAATGATACAACCAAATATAGGCTCTACGTTATTATACTGACGGACTATTATATGTACTTCTAGATTACATAATTCCACCAGATAGGTATTTTGGACCAAGCGTTTCATAAAAACAATATTAATTGCACCTCTTAGACCTCTTAAACTGAAAAGAACGCAACAAACAAACATAATATTTATTCCATGTGATTGATATCCTCACGTTGAAGTAGTACTTTTTTATGAGATAGGTCGGCAAACGCGCAGACGGATTACCTGATGGTAAGCAATCGGCGCCGCTCAAGGCCACTCGCAACACTAAAGTAGTTGCGAGAGCGTTGCCGGTCTTTTGGGGATAACGGTTCCGCATATTTAAGGGATGGGGGAATGGAGGGATTGTGCCTCCGGTAACCCCAATCACACGCCGATTTTCTGTAAGGCCGTGGTAGCACCTTAACGTAGAAGTTGGTTGCGGATTTAATCAGGAGAAGGAACGTGATTTATTTTAGTCAGTAAGACTCTGCCACCTCCTTACGCTGCACCCCAATGGGCGAAGAATGATTCTTTACTCCAAATAAAAAGCATTAGGTGCTAAAATAGAAAAAAATTTATGTTTACTCATCAAAATTTTTATATTATTGACAAGGCCATTTAGATAAATATATTTATCTCAACGACTCAGGTCCACAGATTATAATTTATAATAATCTGTGCTCTGGTCAGAATATTACTCGCAAGTGGCGCCATCTGAGCAATATAAATACTATCAAAATTGAGGTTTTAAGGCTTGCTGAAGTCTATACAACAATAAGTAATATGTATAGCTCGGAGCTAAAACCGCGTGGCGACGTTAGTTCGCAATAATAAACTCACACGGACATAAAAATTGACGTGTAGGTATGTCGAAATGATTTTATTGTGAAACATAATTTACTGTCTATCGTCTGTTCGCTTACTTTTACTGAGGTCTTCAATTTCGTAAAATATGATGGTGTTTTGTTTGACAAAAAATGTGAGAAATATTTCAACATAACTACTTGTATGTTATAAATTTGCGAATGTGTGATATTCATGTGTGCTAGTTGCCTTTATTTGGTGTTTTGGCTTCAATGACTAGTTAGCAACAATATTTTTTACATTATGACAAATATTTTTCGTTTTAAATATGGATTATGTTGTGCAGAAGTGAATTAATTAGTGTTATTTTCTGTGATGTAGGTAAAACACTAACATATTATACTGTATAGTGCTCCTAACTATGATCCTGACCTATTTTATCTTTAGTTCCACGACATTCACACTCTTTTCGAGCTTTTTATTTAAGTCATAGGTTTGACTTGTTTTGACTGCTGACATGGCGGCTGGGCAATCGTAATCGAAAAACTCTTTGTGTGATTTACAAATTGTTGTTCTGGGTTCGGGTGTGAAGTGTATGTGAAGTTGTATGTTTGTAAACGTATCCACGACACAGGAGAGAATCCTGAGAGTCAGACAGCGGTTCTTTTTGTAAGAGAAGTCCTCCAAAGTTCAAAATTAGTTATTTAAAAAAAACGGTAGAGAAAAAAAAATAGTCAGGCTATTTTAATCACATATTTAGAAAAAAACTCATCTCGCTATCTTAAATCTTATATGTTGTTCTATTGGCTGGCATTTTTTTTATCAATTGCTAGCCGTCAATCATCTAGCGGGTTGATGTGTTAAATATATGAGCCACTTTATCTCTCGTTTCTTATATTGACACTAGAAAGTTTTAGATGTTGTGTGACGAAAAGTTTGGATTAGAAGAAGCTAAAAGCAATCCATCGTCAACCGGATCCGCAAGGGTTACATATACCTAAGAAGATGCATTTTTTATTTATTTAAGAGCATTATAAATTTATTAAGTAAACTGTAGTTTTTTGCCAGTGATGCGATATGCTCTTATGTCGTGGTGACTCGTAAGTTAAGTCGCTCCTCATGCTTGAATTGGTAGGTTTGCTGGCAGGTACTAATACGAGTTTTTTATGTGGTAAGATGGAAAACGAGCAGCCGGATAACCCGATGGAGCTGATGGTAAGCAATCAGCGCCGCCTATTAGTTTGGGTACCTGCAACAACTAAGGAATTACGAGTAAGTTGCGATATCACAATGTTGTGGTTGTTTTCCGCTGGTTTTCTGTGAGACTGTGTTATCACTCCGGTCGAGCCAATCCATGCGTGCCGAAGCATGGCTATCCCACACTTGTATGTACTTTCAAAGTCGAATATACATGCTAAAATCCTTAGTATCGCGAGGAGACCTAGACGATTAAGGTTTCAAGGCGTTCGGTATAGCGGTTTATAAATTTATATGAAAATGGAGAGCAAGATATTTTCTTTCTTAAATTAATACGAACACTAACTGGTTTTCTGGGAAATTGTACTATAATAATATAATACATATATTCCTTTAATAATAATAAATAAACGAGAAAAGAATACCTAATTCGTTTTTTGTATAAAAAAATCTATTGTTAACATTGTGCATAGGTACTTGAAGCTTGCTTTTATCGGAGTATCTGTACAGAGTGTAAAATATCTTGAGAGGAGTGCCTTTTTGTTCTATTCTCATCTTATAAGGAGGTATCTTGCAAATTGCTACCGAACGCTGTCGGGACCACAACAGTAAACGAGAAAATACAGATGAAAATTTCTATTCAGTGTACCAATTCCACAGTGGCGTTCGACAATGCTGTTTTGAAATTTCTTTCTCAAAAGTGTTGAAGAGATGAAATTACTTCGGACTTTTTTCTTACACTCTGAATCGAGTGGTTTAACACATTGTAACACGATATTCTTTTCCCACGAAGTAATAATTTCAAACAATGTTTGTTACATGCAAGAAATCCCTTGAAGTTGAATATAAATATAATATATCTCTTTTTTGACGGGGTTGGGGGATTTATGTAACGTTTTTTTAGATCCAGATGGGTCGAGAGCCCAACTCAAAAAGAAAGACTAACTAAAAACTACCCATGCCTTCTCCTGCTCTGAGCCTGGCTACCTTTACATCATGTGGTTTTCCTGCTCAAAACTCTCTTCAACTTCATAAAGAAGTCAGAAAAACTCTTATTTTGGGTAAATCACGTTTCTGGTATTTGCTAGCTTTGGCTTTTAGGGAGAAAGACGATCGGTGGCCGCATTTTTGTTTAAACGTGCCATATTGAAAAAAGTCAATTACAGTCGATATACATATAGAGCAATTATTAACATTGAGAAATAGTTACTAAAGTGGTCTATTATTGCAGGTGTATATAAACAGTGAAATGTTAGTGCTATATTTGCATTTTCACAGTGGCTATACAACCAGTCGCTTAGCAACATATCGCAGGCTGAACTTCCACACGGAACAATTCTTTGTGAGACCTAAAAATGTCGTTCCGTTGTTAGGTATGATGAGTAAGTAAACATACATGTTTCTAAACTTACTTAGGACAGAAAAGAGAAACCTAATTAGGAGGAATGTCAAAAATATTTTTTAAGAATTAATGGCTTATAATGTTGTTTTGAATTAAAAAATACGAATAATATTTATGGAAAATCTATTGTACAGTCAAACCAATTACTTTGCAGTCCTATTTTGTTCCGATGCCGTCAATAGCAGATGGTTGAATGGCGCCCATGGCTCGTTAATTGTCAATTACTAGCGAGTAATTAACGTTCCTCTGATTAGATTCAACACCTCGTTGAGTTTACGGATTCAGTTACATATTAGTTTACTGTATTGTGTGATAATCTTGTTTACTGTATTATGCGTAGGAAAACCAAGCTTCGGCACGAATGGGTCCACTCGATCGGAGTGAAACCACGGCCTCACAGAAAACCGGCGTGTAACAACCACAGCGTTCCGTTTCGTCGTGTGAGTGAGGTTACCGGAGGTCCAATCCCTACCCCTCCCCCAGCCCTTCCCAATTCCTAAATATCCGAAACCCTTATCCTCAAAAGGCCGGTAATGCACTTGTAGCTCGTTTGGTGTTGCGGGTGTCCATGGGCGGCTCCGATTGCTTACCATCAGGTAATCCGTCTGCTCACTTGCCAACCGACCTCATAAAAAATATGTGGATGTGGATCTCTGTGTAAATTGCTTGGAAAATTATCATCATCATCTCAATCGTCAGCTCATAAGTGTCCACTGCTGAGCAAAGGCCTCTTCTCACACAGAGAAGGTTTTGAGCATTCATCACCACGCTTGCTCAATGCGGATTTTTTTGTGAGGGGAAAATCATCAAATAACTTCTTCCGCC